TAGAACAGTAGAACAGTAGAACAGTAGAACAGTAGAACAGTAGAACAGTAGAACAGTTGAACAGTAGAACAGTAGAACAGTAGAACAGTAGACCAGTACAAAAATAGAACAGTAGAACAGTATAACATTAGAACAGTAGAACAGTAAAACACTAGAACAGTAGAACAGTAGAACAGTAGAACAGTAGAACAGTAGAACAGTAACACAGCAGAACAGTAGAACAGTAAAACACTAGAAAGTAGAACAGTAGAACAGTAAAACAGTAGAACAGTAGAAAGTAGAACAGTAGAACAGTAGAACAGTAAAACACTAGAAAGTAGAACAGTAGAGCAATAGAACAGTAGAACAGTTTAACAGTAGAAACAAAAAATTCATGGATATAATACCACAATAAAATACATGTTATCTAATTTTATTTTTCTTTCTAAGACTAGATTTTCAACAAATAATTTCTATTCTTGTCTCCCCCTGATACTTACACAATATATCAGATTACCTACTTTGACAAAAAAATAAATACAACTGAAATATCTGTTAGATGCAATCAGAATTTGATTAGGGGAAAGTGAACTTTTTTCATTATTAACTATCTAGGTTTATAAACTTCTACATAAAACCCATTATTAATTTGAGCTGTGTTTCAAATAAATATGTACCAGGATTAGCTTAATCCTGTGATATATATAATGACGTACATCTTAACTATGCATATTTCAACTGTGCTATAATCTGTAATATGACTGTCTTAATCATGTGATATAGATAATAACGTAGGAATTGTAATTACGTCTATAAGCTTTAACTTGTAACATATAAAAACCAAATACAACGTCTAAAAGCTTTTACTTGTAACATATAAAACTAAAATACAATAGTTGATATAGAAACTCCGCTTTAATTACAGTTTTGAGAGTAATTTCGTTTCATTGAAACATACAATTTGAGATTGTGCCTTGAATATTGGCATTGATAGTTCATTGGATTGTAGCCGTGTGGATCATGTCTGGTTGACATTGATCAATGAATTGCCAGTGTTCGTATTGACACCGATAGTTAACAAGATTGCCCTAAGCGGTAGTGGTGTTGATAGTTCATGGGATTGTAGCTTTAACTTGTTACATATAAAACTAAAATACAATAGTTGACATAGAAACTCCACTTTGATTAAAATTTTGAGAGTAATTTGGTTTCATTGAAGCATACAAATTGAGATCGTGCCTTGAGTATTGGCATTGATAGTTCATTGGATTGTAGCTGTGTGGATCATGTCCTGTTGGCATTGATCAATGAATTGCTAGTGTTTGTATTGACACCCATAGCTAACAAGATCCCCCTCGGTGGTACTGGCGTTGATAGTTCATGGGATTGCAGCTGTGTTAATAGTGTCCGGTTTACATTGATCAATGAATTGCTAGTGTCCTTATTGATACTGATAGCTAACAAGATCCCCCTGATATGGCATTGATAGTTCACAGGATTACAGCCGTGTTTTGACTTTGATAGTTAAGAGAATCTGAGTTGTACCTGGATAGATACTTTTTCGGGAAGCTGTTATGGAGTAGGGCATTTACTACAGGCCTTGGTTTAAGAATTAAGAGATGCGACGGTGCCAACAAAGTATTTTTAATCTTTAAGATAAAAAATGAATGTTGATACTGGGAAAGGTTTAACCGTCGGAAAAGTGAACAGAAAACTTGCTTATTAAAAAATGTAATAATTTGAAAAACTTTTTACATATTCCAATTTAACTTATGAATTTCTTTTAAACCTCTAGCACCTATCTAACCTCAATATAGGGGGAAAAACTCCTTTTATCTTAAACTAGCTTGAGAACACTGCGTTGCCCAGGGTACTCATAGTTATTCCCGCCGTTTACCAGCGCTTGGTCCCACTCAACTTAAAATCACAAAACCTAACTTAGAACATTCCCGTTGGTCTCCCGAGTTCTACAATAAGAATTTGAGGCAAATTGGTCCAGGGGTTTCTGAGTTATTTAATTAGTTAATTAGTCAATTAAATTGGGGGTCTCCCTTGAATTTACATCCTAAGTAAGTCCTTTACTGAGCCTTTTAAATTCTCGTTTCCCTTGAATAGTTTATAAACTATCTACTTTATATGAACATTGAACATGCAAGAGTTTTCACTTGAGGTTAAAAACTTTTTTTTGACAAAATGAGTTTTTAGTTTTAAGCTTAGACAATGTTGTATCCCTAGAATCCCTAGGTACAGGATCAAATAATATCTTAATGTCATTAAAAAGCCATAACTTTTCTCTTACAAATAGAGAAATTTTAATTTTGTATTTTTTACCACATGCATAGCTTTAATTAGGGTTTCCAACGTAATAGATTATTCTCTTACGCATAATTACGTGCAGTTAGGCGTAATAATTTACATTTCGTGTAATTTTGCAGAATTACGCGTAATTGGGGAACTATCCATTTCGCGAAATTGCGGCGTAATTTCGCGTAATTTCTACAACGTAATTTCGCGAAATTTCATAATGATTACGCGTAATAAGCAAAACTATAATTACGCGTAATTACGGCGTAATTTCGCGTAATTTCTACAACGTAATTTCGCGAAATTTCATAATGATTACGCGTAATAAGCGAAACTATAATTACGCGTAATTACGGCTTAATTTCGCATAATTTCTACAAAGTAATTTTGCGAAATTTTGCAATAATTACGTCTATGAAATTTTGAAGTTTTAACTTTTAATTTAAATAAAACAACTAGTTTACAAGGAAAATAATGTCACGCAAGTGGAATCAGAATTTCTGCCAATACTATGTTGATGTAATTTTCACGTTCGACAACTAAAAAGTTTAACAAAGGGCCAACAATTTATTTTTATCAAATAATACATAATCTATAAAATTTTTAATTTTCAAAAAGTTGAGGAAAAGGAAATTATATGGGGGAGGGAGGGAGGTGCGAGAGGAAATGAGAAGAGAGAGGGGGTGGTTGGATGAGCAGGAATGAATAGAAGACGAGGGGGGTAGGTCAGCAGGAAAGAAAAGGAGAAGGGGGGGTTTGAGTACATACTGTCCCGCTATAATTATTTCTGAGAATTAATATGTACTTTATTAATTACGGAATTGTTTCGTATTAAGTAATTTCGCGTAATTACGCCTAATTACGCGAAACTAGACTTTCTTTCATAAACGTAATAAACGCGTAATTACGCGTAATGCTCCTGCGTAAGTGAAAGAAAGTGTTACGGGTAATTACGACTGGAAACCCTAGCTTTAATTCTACGATTAAAAAAGTATTTTTTCTCAAATATCCCCCCCCCCATCATCAACTCATTGCTTAGCTTCAAAATCCATAAACTTTAAAACTTACTCCTGCGTCTAAAATACGCAGAATTTTTGTGCTGCGTCACGGTACATTTAACATTCTAGGAATTTTCACGCATTGCGTTGTTAATTTGAAGTTTTTCTACGTCAGCTACTCTAACTCCGGTCAGTTTCTTTGTTTAGAAATACAACAGAGAGTTAGCTAGAGTGTACATCTCCCAACCCTGAAAACATTTAGCAGTGGGGGCTGAACCCACAAAGCCCCCCCCCCCAAAAAAAAATAATGTAGTTCCTAATCCCAGTCTATACGTTTGTACAGGATTAGCATACACATAATTTTATTAATTTAGTCTATTTTTGAAGGTTTTGTATTTCCTATACAATCCTTATACACTATACAGGGTGTCCCAATAAACATGGGAATTTAGTGACGAATTCGATATCGTCTTTTTAAATAATTCTTTGATTTAGTATAGTGATACCTACTGAGAAAGTTGTAATTTGTAAGAGTTTCGTCTGCTATGTTTACAATTTGTTTGTTTATTTTTTGACTGCATAAGGGTGTACTTATAGTAAAACAAGAAAATTGCAGTATACAAACAGAGTAAACTTGTCCGTCTTCACTGTCCATCTTGCGGAGACATTATAGACACATATTTACAGTCTTTTACCCTTTTCATAAAATAAACTCTAGCAGACATAATAAAATTATGGCTTTTGAAGTTAGGTATTACAATTCTAATTCATAACAAAGACGATATCGAATTCGTCACTGAATTCCAATGTTTTTGGGACCCTGCATATCCCTAAAGATAGATGGAACGTATTGTATAAAATTTTGCAAATTATAGCCTGTACAAAATCTCTCTTCTCTCTGACTGTATTCCTCTTGTAATCAAGTACATATGTACTCTGTATCTTAATACCTCTATTAGAAATGCATCTATGTAACCTGCACTCTGTTGCCGAGTGCTTAAGCTTCTTATCGCAACTGATGTCAATGCATAAAATGAAAGATGCACTGTAAGCAACTGCTTTTATGCAAAGAAAGTTTGCAAAGAGGCCTATGTAGTGAAATGTGGTCAGAGTATTACTACGCATTTAGTGATGTTCATTTTAACCCTGAATTAACCTTCATGCTTTCATCAAATCTATAACCTTGAAATTGTACAAAATAAGTAATTCATACCTTAAAATTATAAGATTTTTGTACTTGTTTGTCTTTAAGCCTTTATGTTTGTTGTTTTAATTATAAAGTTTGTTATTTGTATTTTTTTCTTATGTTTATCTTCTGAAGTTCTAGTTTGTTTAAGAAGGGATTTTAAGAAATTTCAGTTTTTAAAGCCTAGATAATTTTGTTTCCGTACATATATTTGTAGTAAATGTGGTACTCTTAAAACTTTGTCCAGAACTGTATCAGTCCAGGTACAATCCGTCCACTATGAATATCAAACAGGACACAATCCACACAGCTACAATTAATCCCGTAAACTATTAACCTTACTACCACCGGGTATGATCGCGTTAGCTATCGGAGTAAATATGGACACTAGCAATTATATGATCAATGTCTCAACAAGGACACAATCCACACAGCTACAATCCCATGAACATGATCCGTACGGCTACAATCCCGCGAACTATCAACGCCACTACCACTGGGTGAGATCTCATTAGCTATCAATTTGAATCATAAGCTCATAGCTATGTCAACTAGACAATAGCAATCAATAGATCAATGTCTTTTTAATTTCGGTGATGGTGATGGACCAAACCTCTGTAAATGTTAGTTCCACATTTATTGAAAATATATTTTGGTCTGGGTTGACCCTCGTCAGTTCTTGAGATTGTTTCTGTCACAAAGATTTAAAACAAACTCAATGTCTCAAATTGGACACATTTTCAACTATGTTTCAACGAAATAAAATTATTATCAACATTGTAATCATAGCAGACTTCTGCATTAACTGATGTATTTGAAGTTTACATGTTACAAGTTAAAGTTGATAGACGTAATTACAATTTCTACGTTGTTATCTGTATCGCATAACTAAGGCAATGATGTTACATATTACAGCACAGTTAAAATAGATGCAATTAAGATATATGTCACTATTTATCGCATGATTGAGCTAATCATGCTACGTATTTAATTGAAGCACAGTTCAAATGAATAATTGGTTTTACGTAGAAGTTTACAAACATAGATAGTGAATAATGTACAACATACTGCAGGTTTACAGAATATCATGTTACCCAATATTTATTACATATATAAGATAAGATAAGATAAGATAAAGTTGATTGCTAAAATAAATGTATCTGTATTCAGATAGAGTTTACAATCACAAAATTGATGATTATATTAACAGTACAAGTATAAAGCAATTAGGTGGAAAATAGCTCTTGGCTGTTTTGATTATTTTTTCCACCTAATGTTAGTAATAATAACAAAATATTTCAATTATATAGATTTAAGGAGAACGATTAGAGATCAGGGTGCGAATTTATCATATGCAAAATAGTTTATACATATACTACTTGTTCTATACTACTTGTTCTTACCACATCACAATTCTGAGCTATACCCAACACGCAGAACAGAGATTAGAATAGAAGGGGAAAAGAACTATCCCTCTCGGTATGATTTTGTTTAGTCTCTTTGAATCTGAAAAGGAGTTCAAAGTGTAAAATTAATTAATGTAAATGTTCGCAAATTTTACACAGTTAGAATAATACAGTATGATCCCTAGATATATGTGTTACAATTTCTTCTGTGTATCATGTTCATGCTGAAATTAACTCAGGAATGCATGACAGGTGTCAGAGAATTAGTTAAGAGAAAATGAAATAATTTTCAAGCACATTTTTTTCTCTAAAAAATATGTTCCAGGGACCAACAGGTTTCATATCACAAATATGTGAAGAACACCTGCAGTATGGTTAATTACACTCTATATTTATTTATTCTTTTAGACCTAACCACAACATGAACAACCCTTCGTTTTGACTTTCTGGCAATTTTCAACAACCATGGACTGCTCATTTGCTCTACCTAGGATATGCTAAGCAGGCCTATAGTGTCCTGACCGTTCCATTAAAGGTTTTGTTGATGCCATCTAACGGCTACTTGATGCAGATAGTACCCATTCAGTTTTAAAGAAATACTCCATTTTTTAACAAAAACATAAAATTTATGAATTTAGTCTATTATTGAAGATTTTATATTTCATATCCAAAGGATGCTTAAATATCCCTGAATATAGATGCAACCAGCGGCATATATAAGGGGGGTTATTGGGGTTATTTACCCCCCCCCCCCTAGAATCTTGAATATTTGATTTAACTAAATGAATAGTTTGAAATGTCAAAGGTCTATATGTTGCAGAAATTAAGGGATTAAAAAATCAGAGTTTGTGGCAAATACTTAATTTCTTCACTTAACTTTATCCTTAAAAGTTGTTTTCCTAAAAATATATGTGAGTTGTGGCACCCCTGGGTTTTTTTCCTAAAAATATATGTGAGTTGTGACACCCCTGGGTTTGGTAATGCAATAGAATACACCAATATAATGCTCAGTCTTATTATTATCATGGGTACTAGAATAGGGTATCGCATTGAGGCCCGCGCACGAATGAAAGGTCGATACGGTACGGGGTGACGTCTGACGTCACTGATTAAAACTATTGGTGGAGAATTCTCAGACCGCCAAAGAAATCCCAATCACAATTATGCGTATACTCGCCTACAACAGATCTTATCCCAAGACAGTTCTAGGACCAGTGTCCACTTTGTGCCCTGTACCGGGTTATGACGTAGGTTAGGCACAGAATCTAGAATAGTATTACTACCTTACCCTATTCCAGTACCCATGATTATTATTATTATATTATTATATGGGGAAATTTTATTCATATTGAAAATTACCCAAGCTCCCTTTTTTGTCCTTTTTTGGTCAAAATGTTTGAACTCAGTTTTTAGATGTTATAGTTCATTTATTACTGAGAAAACAAAAGAAAAAATAGCTTTTCTTTCATCCCTAAATTTCAGACTTTTGAAATTGAATAACACAATTATAGAATTCCTCACTGAATAAATAATGTATCCATCATGAAGGAATTGGAAAAAAGAAAGTTCTTCTAGGTTACACTGAAGTATAATCTACCATGATGTGCAATTCTAATTCATTATCTGTATTAATAATATTATTATCTTAACTATTTGTATGTTGACCCAGCCGGGCTAGCCCGGTCAGTTCATTTTTACCTGTTTATAAATAAAGTAGTTGAATATCATTAATTGATCAGAACGGACGTATAAAGAGCCTTGAGTTTTGGCTAGAGATTTAGTTGAATG